ATCGCCTAAAATTAATCGAAATCGATATGAAGATATATCGTGTATATCCATATAACGGTACTTTTAAAAATTACTTAAAGCGTGACAAATTAATAACTAAATATTCCAGAGACATTAAATTTGACCACCGAGGTGGTATGAGGGGACTGCTCACATTTAGGTTAAACCCCATATCTCGGGACCTACTAAACCGATTTCAACCAAATTCGGTAGGTAATATTACCTAACATTCAGTGTGAAAATAGGTAAATTCAGACAAAGAACGCTCCTTTTTGCCAAGTAACACACACTTAACAAATTCCATCTGATTCTTCTCCTTTCCTTTCAAGCCCCCATATACCGAATATATGGACCCCCATTCCTATTGCGAACTTTTTATCGAAAATATCGGTTAATCTGTGAGATATATTATAGAAATTCGCAGAGAATACTTTGCTGATAATAATATGTCTGTATGTCAATGGGTTGAATCGAAACAATAATTCCCTTAGTCCCCATATACTAAATAGAAAGATTTTCGAATACCGTATATATCGGCAAATATACGAATACGAGTTATCTTAATGAAATTGTGAGAGTGCGTTTTTCCTATAATGGTGCATCTTTGCACTTAAAATAGATTAAAAAAATTAAGAAAATTTTCACTTAATCCCATGTAGCTAATATCAGGATTTTCAAACATCTAGTTGACTTTGCTGCTTATATGTATATTGGTGATGGTATGTGAGGTACCATAATTAGAGAACATCTTTTTCTGTTATTAATATGTAGTAATGCCAAATATAGATATAATCGGTTCAATACTACACTGATCTCCCATATACCTAATATAAGGTTTTCAAGCTACTTGAGCGTATAATATTGGGATATAGGTACTATAGTTTAACGCCGAAAATATGTAAAACTGGTCCATGAATTACGCAAGCTCTTATATACTGCATATAATGTTTTTTGTTATTCTAACAAATCCTATGTTGAATATAACTGTATATATTTATTATATGTTCTCGATTATACCTGAGTAATATTATAAGTTCGTGCAATCAGCACAGACCTGTTGTGCCCCCAATATAGCCTATGTACCGTAGTTATAAAACTAATTGAGTCTATGACCTATTATATAAGTTAATAAGATACATTTTTGATTATAATTCATTTACGATTTCGTCGAAACCTCAAGGTATTCTTTCGGCTTTGATCCTTGCAATCCGAATTTAGAGCTTCTAAATTGACCAAGTGAGACCATTTAAATTCTTTGCTTTTACTTTTTCGTTCCCAGTTATTAACCCAGCTAAAAAAAATGTGTTTTACTATGGTATGGATTCGAGTTCCAGGTTACTTTGTATCTCGATGAGTTAATCCGCTGAATTAAAAAGTGTTTCAAATATTGTACGAGTGAAACAATACTTGGCCAGCTACCACTATACAATAGCGAACCAAGTTGAGTAAGTGGTTATTGGATACTTTCACAACATAAAAGAAGAGTTTTATCTAAAACAAACAAAAAAAACAAAAAAAAAGAACGACAACTTCGATTGCACCAAAGCTATAATTCCCTTCACAGATACAAAGGTTTCTTACAATAACTTGATTCCGATCTAATCTATTGCAGATACCTCGTCCAGTAAAAAAATTTTACAAGCACTTTACTCCGATCGTTCAGTTAATAAGGCAACTTTATGATGTAGTGATCCGATCTAAAGAATTTCTTCGGAGATTGCATTGTTGTCTTAGAAAATAACTCATGCGAAATTTCGTGAAGATATTACGTTAAATAAAAAAGTTTCCCATACAAGCATATGATTCCGATTGTTCATTTTATGTGACAGCTATATGCTATAGTGGTCCGATATCGGCCGTTCCGACAAATAAGCAGCTTCTTAGTGAGGAAATGACAGGTTAAAATTTCGGATCGATAGCTTAAAAACTGAGGGACCAGTTCGCGTATATACAGACGGAGGGACCGACGGACACACAGACGGACATGGCTAAATCAACTCAGCTCATCATGCTGATTAGTAATGTAAATATTTTATAGGGTCTCCGACGTTTCCTTCTGGGTGTTACAAACTTCCTGTTCAGGGTATAAAAAAACACGAACTCCGTAAAAATAAATAAAAATTATAATAAAAAAATCATTGGATCTTTGAACGATACTACACAGAGTTGATAGTTCTCGCCACGCCTTCTTTTGAGCATATCACGGAACCGCCGATACCGGACCACTTTACTTAGAACATATCTGCCATATAAACTGATCGATCAAACTCAAGTACTTTTTTATTTGATGAAATATCTTCATGAAATTTATTACAGCTTATTGCCCAAAGCATCGCTATATTCTCCGAACAACTTGTTATGATCGGACCATTATAGCGTATAGCCAGTGTAAATGACCGATAAAAACAAGAAAACGATCTTCATTAAAGATATAAAAAAAACTTCAAGTCATATGAAGTAATAAAGTATATCAAATAACGAAAACGTAAGACACCAAGTTTATTTTTGATACTCGAGCGCCAATTTCTGAAATATTTTTGTTTTCAAATGGTTCGGACAACTTCTTACCATAAAGCAACTGGTACAATAGGCAGCTGATTTGAAGAAAGTAAGTAGATTAGATCATTATCGGTGATTATTGACATTTTTTCTTAGGCCCTCTTTAAAATCTGTAGATCTTAGTGAATATCTATATAATTACTTTTTTCGAAACGTTAAGCCACATTGACAAGGACAAGAGAATTTGATGATGTTAGTATCAAGTGTCATATCTTTTATGGGATTTTAAGAGCACTTATTCCAATAAAAGTTGCGCCGATTGTGGGGTATCCTTTTCCTGTAGATTATTCGAACTTGATACTTGTATTTTGGTGTCATGATGGAAAAAACTCAGCCAAAGTACTCTATATAGCTTTGTTATTTATGGTAACGCATTCCTGTTAGTACTCTATATGTTAATAGAGCCTTCTTCATAGTCACTGAGTAATATAATGTATATTTGATCAACTACAGTTTGTGTTAAAGGACTACTACTCTCTAATACCTAAGTGGAGACCTCTTTCTACAACAAAAGTCCATTTTCGGAAATAATGGGTCAAATATTTTAAAGGGATTTTTGAGAAATTAACGCTTCAATGAGTTTTCTACTGATGTGTATTGTTTTTTAAGAGAACTAGTTTTGGTCAGCTATATTGGAAATTCGATATTCTCAGAACCTGATCTCCAAGAATTGGTGACATAAAGAGAGAGACAAGGATTATTAGAGTTATAATGAGTTCACTACTACTCAACTGTGTTATACATTTTCTTCAGGAATAAACTGTTTCTTGTGTTCACACTTAATTTTAACGAATGAAATGTGCACTAGTTAGGCTCGCAAAAGCTTCTCACCATTTTGCAACACCTTATAATTTCTTACATTGAAGTTTTCTGCATGAAAATATAAAGATTTGCATGTATGAAAGCACAGAATGTTATCAATAAATTTTAAATAAATACTCTGGTAGTACATTATTTCAGTGGCTTGCAAACCGCATAACGCAGTGCTTACATAACTGCAACCGAAAGCTCGCTAAAGCTTTTATACACAATAAGCGGTAAGTGCAAACCTATCAAAGTAACCGTGACTAACAAAACCGAGTTAAACCTACAACAATACCAAAAGCATCAGCGCGGGAGTAAACAGCCGAACTATGGAACCAAGTGCACAAAGCTCCCATAAATATTCAGAATGCACGTTTGTACTCTTTCCAAAGGTAGCTACAAATTGAGAAAGGGATGACAAGATGTGCCGTTAAAGAGTTGGAGCCCAATAAGAAACTTGTACAACAACAATGAATAATCAATTTGGAGAAGAGCATCGCTACACATGTTAAATAAGCGAGTTAGTGTGGAAAGAAGGTATGCATGTGTATGTTTGTATTACATTGCATATATGTAGGGAAGTATGCATGTGTATGTTTGTAAGCACACATATACATATGTACATATAAATGTATGGCATATTTATACAACAAATGTGCGCTCATTGTACACATCTCAGCAGTTCTCTCTGCACTGGATTATATTGTTACGAATAGGAGACGGAAGAGCAGAAGCACGGAAGTACACCTGCATACACATTTGCATACTAACAAATTCACACATACATACATACAGTGGTATGTGCTTACTGCCTTCAAAGTAGTAGATTTTGCATTGTGGGTGATTGGAAAACACACAGAGCGTAATTTCGGCTTGGAATTGTCTACTCACATGGAAAGCACGGTACATAGTGCCGCTTATATGCGTATGTATACACATATGTAAATATATATGCGTAAGTGTGTGAGCTACACGTAGCTACGATAATGACTTTACTTGGCTGCTTGTTAAATATTGTAGCTTAGCTCAGTTCCAATTCTCACGCTCGCCCAGCCGATTGGTTGTGCGGTTCAAAAAGCAAAAAACAAAGCAAAAAGAAATTATAAACTTAGTTAAAAGAACGTTGAGGCGCGTTTGAGAAGTATTTAAAGGTATTGCAATGCAAAAAATTAGTGTTGAAAGTTATATATACATACAAATATACTTGGTTGAAGTGCTGCATATTGAAATTTTTCTGATTAAATTGAAAGAAAAAAATTTTGGGCAAAGCGAAATATTGAAAAATATTGAAAATTGTGGAAATTCTGTTTAAAAAAATTGTTTCGTTGCAATATAAATTGTAGTTAACTTGTGGTGCGTGTGTGACGTTCGGCAGTGAGAAAATTCGCAGCTACCACGTTTGCTAAAATCGAAGTGCTAATTTGCTTACAGACGCTGGCATATATATGTATGCAAAAATATATGTTTATATATTTACATATACTACATACGTTTATATACATATATAGATATGTATATGTTTTATGAAAAAGTCTGGCTTTAACTGAGTGCATAATGATTTTTGTATAAATACTTATATATATATATTAATTTAAAATTAATTATATATATATATACAACAACAATAACAAATGAAATGTGCAAAATTTCTCAGAAAAATATTTTCATTTAAAACGTGTGTAACTGTCAGCGTGTGATTATGTACACAAGTGCCGCAGACTCAGCTGGTGCGGCAGCTTTCTTTCATTTTTGCTTGCAAATTTAAGCGATTTGTGTTGTTTTTGCCATAATAAACACTGAAAATAGTATAAATAATAATAAATAATACAGCACGTATCTTTTGGCTGTTGTTTTATTTTTCCAATTTCTTTCGCCAAATTGTCTGTCCTCCAATTGAAAATTGAAAGTTGGCTTCGCGTGGCTGCTGCTTGCCAACTCGCTGCTTCTTTGTACGCGTTCGCCTCCTGAAGGGTTATAAAATTTACTAAAAGCAGTTAATTATATTAAGCAATTAGTGGTACTACAATTTATACCTTTCGCAGTTCACCAGTAACCACTGCAAAGTAACTTCATCAACAATTTCAACTGACAGCCACCACTGACACCATTGACACCACATTCCCATACGCTCGTTGTTCGCTACTTTGTTGTTTAACTGCAGCTCGTTGGCTGTTTTCGCTCATTTCCAGTTCAAAAAACAAACAAAAAATATATACATACACACATACATATCTTGCTTGCTTCCTCTGCTTTGCTATCTTTTGGTGTCATCGTTGTTATTGTCTACTGCTGCTGCTTACCTGCGCCAATAGCCATTGTATTTAGGTTGTTCGGCGTGTCGTTGCTTCGATGGTCGTTTTCGATCGCTCGTTTCTCATAGCTACTTTTAGTTGACGTAATATGGCTTTAGGCGAAATAGAATGAAAACAATTTGTAAAATGAAAAAAAAAAACAGAATGAAATGTGTTTGTAAAATCGAAATAAACAAATGGATTTAATCATGTGTGACAACAATTCTACTTAACAAAGTGACTAAAGTGTACAAATACAAATGCATGCAGTAATATTGAATAACCCATGGAAACATTTGGTACCGTGTGGCCAAGCTTTAAATGACAGCGCTTTAGCTAATATGCCCTTTGGACCGAAATTAAATTAATGAAAACGCCAAATATTTTAATTATAAGGGTCTATGTACAGCTGTAACCTTACATAAAGTTTTTTTTCAGTATATATACAAACACAATTGTAATTAAAGTAATGACAGTCTTATAAATATTATGTCTTTTTCGACCAGCTACAATACATATACGTGTATGCTATAGTGGTCCGATTTGAACAGTTTCTCCAGAAATTGCACCGTTGCTTGGACAACACTTGTAATCCATGCCGAATTTTGTAAAGATATCTCGTCAAATGAAAAAAATTTCTATACAAGCACTTGATTCCGATCGTTCAGTTTGTAAGGCAGCTATATGCTATAGTGGTCCGATAGCAACGATTCCGATAAATAAGCAGCTTCTTGAAGAAAATTAGACGTATGCAAAAATTCAGATTGATAGCTCAAAAATTAAGAATTAGTTCCCGTATATACAGACAGACTGACGGACATGGCTAAATCGACTCAGCTCGCTACGCTGATTTTTATATACATACATATATAGATTTTATAGGACCTCTGACGTGTCCTTCTGAGTGTTACAAACTTCTTGGCGAACTAAATATAAACTGTTCACAGTGTAAAAAAATAACGAGGGAAGCCCTAATCTTGATCCTAAGAATTGAAGCACTATGAACTTCAAAAGTGGATGAAGTTGTATGCGTACTATTTCTAAGTCTTCTCTGTATATTTTATAAATCTTTTGAATAAGTTTGTTTATTACATAACTAACTACGAGGAGTAAGGTTATATTTTACATGTTTGTAAAAAAATAAGACCCCTTTATAGTTATACGATATATACATTGTCATCGATAAATTGTTCGAGGAAAAAATGTATCTTAAACATCCTATTTTGTTAAAGCCCATTAATACCCAAGAGCGCCTAATTTCGAAGCATGATCTTGCTTACAACATTTTTTCGCTATTATTTTAATACACAAGATTTGTTAATTAAAGTTTGTATGTTAGATATTTTTTACTACAGTATGTGTTATCAGAGTACTTTACTCATTCATTTCCAATACAAAAGTTAGGTAGAGGCCGAAAGTATAACAAAAACAGTTGTGACGGGGTTATCGATATTCGATGAACAATTTTCATATTTTTTACCAAAGATCCTCCTAAAAATTTTGCATATAAAATACATCACTCAATGAATTTCATAAAAAAGTTGGGACCAATGAATTATGAACATAGATTTAGGTTCGGTATTTTCATTGGTCCCAAGTTTTTATGAAATACATCACAATTTAGATGAGGGTAATATTTGTTATAATAATAATTCATCAATGGTAAATAATTTTCAATATAATATATGCTACCTCTGCTGTTATTTTGCCGACAATTGTATTAAAACATCAAGCTACATTAATTACACTCAAAACCACGCTGAAGTACACAACCCAAGTGGGTACTTGGTGGCAAATAGATGCGCTGTACAACAACAAACCAGGAAAATGCCAAACTAAGCTAGTTAAGCCCACACAAGCGGTTGGTAGAGGCCTCTTTTGTGTAGCCCCTTCAGCACAAGCAAACAACCAACAACAACTACATACTAGTATAAATACTAAATACCCTTCAACAACTTAATAATATTTATATAATAACACAAACACATACATAATATATTATTTGCGATTTCGTAGCATTGACTAAACGCTTAGTAGAAAAAACCCACCAAATAGTAGCCGCCTCAGAATACCCACAGTTACTATTTAACAAAATTTATTAAAAAACAAAAAAACAATTGCATTAAAAAAAAAATTTTAAATTAATTCAAAGTGTAGAAAACTAAAATTAATCAACACGTGAAACCAACAAGTGAACACCCAAATTTACACACAACTGTTGGAGACTGCAGAAACCCACTAGGAAAATCGTGCGACAGAACGAGATTTTACAACTTTAGCTTTTTTAGCCACAACGCAGACAATTAGATAACTGTACGTACAAGAGTAAGTACATACTTGATTTGGAATTACTAATAAATATGTTGAAAAAAGTAATAGTTAGTTAGTAGTTAATAGTTCAGCCATAAAGTCATAAAACATAAAACTTATTGCTCAGAAATTGGATAAAATGTGTTACCCATTTTTGGAATGCTTTACCTTGATAAATCTGAAATTTACTTGGCTTTAATGACGTCACTAACACGTAACAGTATATACAAAGAGACCGCAAATTTTCTGCTCTTGCCTCCAATAAAATCATGTGACTTTCATTAAAAAAACCATTTTATTCAATATTTCTCTACATATGAGGCAGTTTAGCTTATGTAACACATGCCTTATTATCATAGACACTAAATATAAAAAATTTATTTGAACCAATTATAAAAAGTTTTGCTAATTATCCTATGCTTTATGCTCCGCCTAGATTTAGCTGACCGGTTTGGCCGGTTGTTTGTATCGCCTAAAACTAATCGAGATAGATATGGAGTTATGTATATGGTATATAATATATGGTCTGTGTAAGCGATAACTTGAGTAAAAATTTAGATATCTTGATGAAACTTGGTACAAGTACTCCTTGGTACCCAAGGGTGGTTGGTATTGCAGAAGGGCGAAATTGAACCACTGTCACTCCCACACAACGCCATTGAACGAAAATCTATAAATTGTCATAACTAAGCACTAAATTAAGATACAAAACTGTAATTTGGTGTAGAGGATCGCAGTGGTGAGGGTTTCACATTTCTTTAAAGGGGGCGTGGCACCACCCTGTAAATGGTTATATTTACATATCTTCCAAACCATTGAAGCTATCTCAACCAAACTTGCTGACAAAAATCCTTTTAGTGTTTCTTTCTATAGTGTGAAAATATGGAAAATCAGATAATAACCACGCCCACTTCCCATATAAGGGTTATGTTGAAAATTATTAAAAGTGCGATAACTCACTGAAAAAAAGAGACACTAGCATTGAATTTCACGGCCAGAATGACAGTTAAGAGTTTAATGGAAGCCACTACAAAAATTGAACAAAGGGCGTGGTACTGCCCATTTTTAGATGAATCCTATATCTCAGGAACTACTGAACCAATTTCAATCAAATTTGGTGTGTGATATTATTACCTATTATTACTATTGCACACAATAGAAATGGAATCGATTCACAACCACGCCTACTTCTCATGTAACAAATTTTTAAATTCCATCTGATTATTTCATCAATTTGTATTATTAGGGTAAAACTTTGTACAAATAGTGTCCCCCTATTTAATCGAACGCTAAAAGTTGTCGAAATCGAACTATAACTCAAAGATACAGACACCAAATATGTGGACTTTGTCTTGTGTCTTGTATTAAAAATTTGGGAAGAACAATTTTGACATAACAGCACTATTTTAAAACAAATTTGTTTTCTCAGTGAAAAAAGATCATTTTAAATTGTAAAGCTCATAGTATTGTAGGAAATTTTCTGTTCTACAAAAATGGTCCGAAAAATTTTTAGAAGCGTTTACGAGATATTTATACAGCCTAACAAAAGCAAAAAATGACCAGATAAATGATGATTTTCATTGAGTTATAGGATTCCACAGAAAAAAAAAATTTGCTTTGAAATTGTCAAACTTAAACCGTTAATAACTCTTAAACGGTTAGGTTTACGAAAAAATAATAGGAGACCATTTATAGAGCATTCAATTTTCTACGAAAACTCAAATTGTTGGAGATATGAATTTTTCTATCTAATAATAGGAAAAAAATAGAAACCCGTTAGGCGGAGAACCTTCCCGTTACAATTAAGTGCTCGTACTTGGAGAGCATTTCTTATAGGTGTCTATCAAGCAATTTTTCATAGTACGTAGCGAAAAAAATATTCGGTTTTTTTTACCCTCCCTAATATCTATATATATAATATGTATATAACAAATTCAATATAATAGTCAAAAATGTAAATATATATATATAATATCGGTATTGTTCTGTTTTGATTAATTTAATTGTTGGCGGCGTGATTGGCAATTATTTCCAAACACTTTTCCATATCAAATTGTTCCATTTGATTTTGATGATTAGCACACAATACCCAACACATTAATCGCATTTTTACTACATCTCGTGTGATATATAAGTAAGTATAATTATGTATAAACGTAATTTCGAAATTGCTTCTGTGCTTACCTATTAAGCTATTTATTGCTATAACCCCGTAGTGAAATAAACTCGCTTTTATACTTTAGAAGTAGTATGCAGCGCCAAGTCAACTAATCATCTAACCGTTCTTTTTCGATGCAAGCGACTGGTATTCCACATATCATGTGCTGTTATTAGATGAGTCGAGAGTTCATTTTGTATTCTCAAGAATAGTCTGAATTCGGCTTTCCTTCAGATCATCCGCGTTTTTACTGAATACTTTTTCATTCCATATATATGCTTTCTAATTGAACCGAACTTTCCAAAGGCTATTTTTTATGACCACTATGATCTTTCCAAAGTTAAATATGGGCCTGTTGTTTTACCAACTAGTTCGATTTAAGTCGGAAATTATACTTGAAAACTCTTTGCATTCTTGGCTGCTTTGAAATTTCATTGCGAGAATTATACGAATAAACGAAGTGTTATACTCGTATACTAACATATTGCAATTAATACCAAATGCATTGGCCATGAATTTGATTTTGTGTTAAGCACGCGCTAGTAAGACTATAATGTATTTATTTTATTACATATTATACAATATATAAGTTCACTTTATTCATATAAATATATGAGTAACATATATGCTATGTGACTATATTCAACATACTAGTATAATTATATTTCTGGTTATATGACCTTCTCATTTTCCAAAAATTTCATATCCCCAAATATACTACATACTCATAAATATCTAATTAATTTTTTTAAATTTCACTCATTATGCTTCAAAGGTACAGGCAATCTGTGCAAACAATATACTTGTAATCTCCCACAACCGATTTTCTAGCGGCCACTTACCATGCAATCAAATTTAATTTCCTTATACTCAGCATATTACCAACTTCTACATCGTAAATATAATATGTACACATGCTCATAACTCTTTGCTTAATTAATGTGTAAAAGGTATGCCTTTTCTGTCAGGACTTCCCTAAAAGCCAAACTTCCTCAATGTTTGTTGCCGAAATATGGTACTCTTCTTAATGAAATAAGGAGAGTGAGAGCGTAAGAGAGAAAAAGTTAATGAGTATGTATACATATTTATGTCTTTGCAAAATTTTGGAAAGAAAACTCGAATTTCATGTGAAAGTTTATAGCAGAGTTGTCATTTGATTTAAATTGTAGATTTTTAATCGCTTTTTCGTTACCAAA